ATGTCTATATCCTTCACCAGGTTATGGAACTTTGCAGTCATTATTTCTTCAAATAGGTTTTCAATCCCTTGCTTGCTCTCTTTCTTTTCCTTGTGGTACTCCTATGATACAAATGTTTGTATACTTGATGTTATTCCAGAGATCCCTTAAACTATTCTCACTTTTTAAAATTCTTTTTCTTTTTGCTGTCTGATTGTTTGTTTGTTTTGCCACCTTTACTTCCAGATTGCTTGTTTGATCCTCTGCTTCATGTTATTTGCTGTTAATTCCTTTTTGTGTATTCTTCATTTCAGTTATTCTATTCCTCATTTCTGATTAGTTCTTATTTATGTTTTCTGTCTACTTTTTACTGTTTTTAAACTCTTTTTCACTGAGTTCTTCTATTTTACCCTGAAGTTCCTTAAGCATCTTTGTAACTAGTGTTTTGCAATCTGTATCTGGTAGATTACTTATCTCCATTTCATTCAGTTCTTTCTCTGGACTTTTGTCCTATTCCATTGTTTGGGACATGTTTCTTTGTTTTCTCCTTTTGTCTGGCTTCCTGTGTGTTTTTTCCCTATGCTTCTATGTATTAGGTACATCTCCTATGTCCTTCAGTCTTGACAGAGTGGCCTTACAAGAAGGCATTGTATGGGGTGCAGTGACAGTGTTTCCCTGGTCGCCTGAGTTGGGTGCTCAAGGGGTGTCCCCTGTGTAGGTTGTGTGTGCCCTCCTATTGTAGATTTGCCTTCATTGTTGCTGGTATATCAGTGGGTGGTGTTGACCCTTCTGTGCAGTTTGCATCTCTGCCCCTTCTACCAGTCTTGACCTGGCTTTTTCTTTGTATCCTTAGTTAGAGGAATTCTGTTCAGCTATTCTTCAGTTAGCTCTCAGTGATGACTGTTCTGTAATTTAGTTGCAATTTTGATACGATCATGGGAGGAGGCAATCTCAAAGTTTACCTACTTCATCATCTTGACCAGAAGTCAATACTGTTCAATTCTTTCTGGTGTTCTTACTCAGCATTTGTTGTTTTCTTTTGATAACATCATCTGAAGTTGACACGCAAAGGTATATGATATGATCTGATGGGACAGTTATTTAAGTCACTGTAATCATGACATGAACATGTATCACAAGGTGAGCCAGTGGAATGCTCCCTCTCTGGAATTTGAACTGTAAACAGAGTAATGCAAATGGCTGGAGTTGTCCTGACAGGATGAGAATGTTGATTCTGTGGGAAGATTAGAGTTACTGGTAACTGGTCTTTATAAGATTCTACTTAAAGCATCCTTTTGATCCTGTGAGTATTCCCATATTCTTGAAATAGATTGCCTTTTTTGCTACCTAAATTTACCAGAGTTGGCTCCTGTGGTTCACAATTTAGGAAGCCTCTTTAAATCTCAGTTTATGTCAGCTTTTCAGAGAGGTTTCTCTGACAATTTGTACAATACAGGTTTGTCCTTTAATTCTCAAATGCTTTTTCTGAATATGTAAGATGATCTTATAGCTTTTTACTTTTAATGTATTAATGTGGTAAATCATATTATTACACTTTAAAATATTATCTCACTCTTAAGGAATAAACAGTATTTTTTTTTAAGCTTTGCCCATTTTAGTTTTATTTGGGATTTTTACATATTCATTCAAAATGAGGTTGGCCTATAATTTTTCTTACTTGTATTGCTTTTGTTCAGCTTTGGCATCGAGGTTATACTACCTTAATGGAATTAGCTGCAAAGCAACTAAGGTTTTCTTTTTAATTCTATGAAATGTCTTATAAAAATTTTATTATCTGTTCCTTGAAGATGTAGTGAACTTATCTTTAAAACCTATTTGAGTTGATTTCTTGAGGGGGAGGGTTGCAGATTTTTGAGTACTGTTTAAATTTCTTTAGCCTGCTTAGATTTTCTATATCTTCTCAGATGTTTGGGTAAGTTAAAGCTTTTACCTAAGAAATTGTTCATTTGACATTTTTTCATATTCATTATCTTAAGTTGTTCATAGTATTCCTTTAGAATTTTAAAAATTTGTATTCTATCAATCACTGAAACCTAGTATTATATTTTGGTTTATAACATGGGTTATATGCCACTGATTCTTTGATATTTTTGAGATTTGTGTTCTAATATCATATGCTGCCATTTGGGGAAAGATTTCTGGTATGCTTGAAAAAAAATGTTTACAGGATTCTCTATGTGTTCTCTGTGTTATCCAAATAATCTATTCTTATTAAGTTTTTGTTTGTTGGATTTATCAGTTATTTGAAATGATATGTATATAGCTCTTCAGGACAAAAAGATCAAATGCCTGTGCCTTTCTCATCCATCTTGGCTAGGCCTATTCTCATTCATGAGAGTGTTATCACTAATGAACTTTGCTTAAAGATATGTACAACTCTTTTGTGATTGTGGAATTGCCAACTTTTTCTGGTAAGCTTATAAATTCTTGCTTTAAATATTTTGAGGCTATGTTTCTATATGCATATTGGTTCAAGATGATTATAACTTTTTTGCAATCTTTTTAATCATTATTTAATAGCTCAATTTATCCTAGTAACAGTGCTCTTTGACTTTAGGTCTGTTTATCCTTCCTCAATAATAATACAGCTATACCAGCTTTGTTTTGCTTGTTGTTTGCTTAACAAATCTTTCCCCATTCTTTTACCATCAATCTTTGACTGTCCTTTGTTTTAGCACATCTTGTTAAAAAATATATAGCTGAAAATTTATTTATTTTTTAAAAGAACTTATTTGTTTATTTTCAGAGAGGAGGGAAGAGAGGGAGGAAGAGAGGGAGAGAAACATTAATGTGTGGTTGACCCTCATGTGCTACCCCACTGGGAATTTGGCTCATAACCCAGGCATGTGCCCTGACTGGGAATCAAATAGGCAACTCCCTGGTTCAAAGGCCAGCACTCCATCCACTGAGCCATACCAGCCAGGGCTGAAAATTTATTTTTTAATTGGTAAGTGTACCGCATTTACCACTTTTATAGATTATTGATGTAATTCTTCTTTCTCATTTTATATTTTCCATCTACAATACCTCTTATTTGAACTTTTCCTCCCCCTACCTACTGGCTTTGTATGGAGTATGTTTTATTTCCTTTTTAAAATCTACTGGTTTAAAAATTATACTCAATTTCTTCCTTCTCCATACTTTCTTACATCTTATTCCTTCTTTTGAGTTCAATTTTTAATTTTTTAAAGACATCCTTTAGAAGTTCTTTCAATAAAATTCTCTTAGGAGTAAATGCTGTTATTTCCTCTAAAAATGTCTTTATTTTGTCCTCACTTTTAAATGCTAAGTTAGCATGGCATATAATTGTAGGTCAACAATTATAATTATTTTATTTTAACATTTGAAGATATTATTTCATTGACCTCTAGGTTCTTTGTTGCTTTTGAGAAGGCAAGCCTCTATTCCTTTATAAGTGCAGTATTTTATTTTTCTTTCTGCTTACTTAAGTACTTCTGTTTTTCTTTAATTTTTTAAAAAATTTCACCATAATATACCTTGATATGAATTTATTCTGTTTCTTTAGGGTTTATTCCTTGGATTGAATTTGCTTTGTCATAGAAAACATTCTTGTTCAACCTACCCAGATAATGCCATTGTTTCTTTACATTACAATATGTAACATAAATTTCTGCACATTAGTGACCAGGTCATTTCTTAAAGAGTGTTAACATTAAACAGACCTCAGAGCTTTTTTTTTTTTTGATCTGAACTTTCTTAACTCCTGGAAAATAAACTTTTTGAAAAACCCTTTTGCCTGATGCCTGATTTTTTGTGTTCTGAACCTTTCACTATCTTACCAAATGAACTTATTTGTTAGCTTAAAACTTGATAAAGAAATGGGTCTTTTCTAATCTTTGGCCAGAAATTTCCTAAAAGTTTTTAAAAGTTTTGTTTGGTACTTTTTCAAGTTATCTATTGTATACACATGCCGATCAATGTAAGACACATCCAAACCTTTAGAGTTTATTTGAACCAAACTGACAATTGTTGGGAATCAAGATCTCAAATGCTTCCAAGAATAACAGTTTTGCCGTTACTTTTATGCATTTTTAGTTAAGGAAATAAATAAGGAAGATTACATAAAGGTGGGAGAAAGTAGGATAGGGGTTGGATTATAGTTAACAAAATCATGTGCTTTCTAGAGGGAAATCACACCTTCCAGGGGTATTTCCTTATGCATTTCAAAGGTGTGTTAATTCAGATGCACGGAAACAAAGAATAGGGCTTGCTTAAAAACCTTTCACTAAAGAAGTTATATGCTTGGGGCGCGACTACTCGCAAAGACCTGACCAGTTCGGAATTCATGATCAGATCACCCTATGAAGTCACCTTCTGTAAAATTTTTTTCATTCATACATGTATGAATTCCTGTGGATTCTTTACATATTCTCCTGTCCGGCCCCAAATGCTAACGTTAACTCGGCTCCCAGACAGGCGTAGGACTCCAGTTTAGCCTTCCGGCTACTCACACCTCTAATACGTGGACCCCAAACTCTAAGGCGTTTAAAGCTTTGGTAGCATCCATTCCACTCTCACGCTACAGACTCGGTGCTAAGGGGATGAGGCCTCTTTCTCCCCTCTTCCGCCTGTCAGGCGAGGCTGGTGCTGGAACCAGTGCCAGGCCCTCCCAGGGACAGCTCCCTAGCTGGGTCGGAGGCTGCTTTGGCCGAACAGCTAGGTCGGACCAGGGTGGCCGCTCGGTCCAATCCCCCAGAATCCTTTCTGTCATTCTACCCCCTCCCCTCCTGAAAACAGGTCAGATTCATCAGTCTTGCTCTAGAAGTATGCCCCGCCCGGCCCTTCCTTCCAGCGAAATCACGTGGCCCAGAACGGGACTGTGCGAACTGGGTATTTCTATAAGCTGGGCCAAGGCTGGCACAGACACTGAGCGTGAGAGTGGGAAGGAGGTTTAGCAAGCAGCTCTGTGGCCCAATGGCTTACTTCTGCTTTCGGCTGTAGGCCAATGAGATGCATGGGGCGGGACTTCCGCCTCGCCTGGTGTTGTCCTCCCGCTAGACTCCGGGTGGTAGGGGCGGTGCGGATTTTCAGCTATGGAGTCGGGATAGGGAGTACTCCGCAGAGACGCGGCCAGCAAGCTTATTTGAGTGCTGGGAGTCAAGATTCCAGGTAAGAACCTCTACGAACTCGAAGCAGCCTCGAAGCCACCTCGAAGTGCCAGGTGGCAGGCCTGGCCCGGAGAACACACCCCTTCATCTGCTTTTCGTAAAAGGTAAAGAAAAAAAAAGCTCTGCCCTGGGAAGACTGAGTCCTTCTACACCTCCATCCCGTGAGTTTTTGTTTGTATTTAAAGTTGTTGGTTTATCCATATGGCTTTTTACATTCCCCTGCTGAGGTGGCAGGAGCTCGGGAGATGTTTGGAGGCTTTTCTTGGTTGAGCACTTGCCGCAAAGTCCCCAGAAGAAGTTGCCAGACTTAAGTTGCGGGGACTCGGTAATCTTTGAAAAAAGAAGAAAGCTGTCACCTCCTTTCCTTCTAACCTTTTTCCTCCTCCCGGTCCCTCTCCCCCACCCCACTGGAAGCTCAGATTCAAGGTGGGCCGTGACTCTGCTAGGGACAGATTCTACGTCCCTGCCCTCTTAAAGTCTGCTCTGCCCAGAAGCTTATTGAGTTGAGCCGCACAGCTGAAAGAACTCTGTACCAGAGAGGGAGTGGGTGACACCAAAGCCTGGCGACCCCAGAGGCACTCAAGCAACTAGGGTGGCAGCCAGAGTGTTCTCTGTCAGTTTGTGGTGAATTCCTCTATTTGCCCTAATTTGGCAGTAGTAAATTTCCAAAACTATCATATCATTCTCAGATTCAGCACCGTGGGCAGCCGCTCAGGTCCTTTTGTTGCGCCAAACCTGCCCGCCTGTTATTTGCCAGTGATGCAGCAGGAACAGCGAAAATGAAGGCATTTCTGTCAACACTGATCTGTTGTTTTCCAAGGAGAACATTTACAGTTTGATACAATATAAGTAATACGGGTATGCCGCCAGAGAGTTCTAGTAGAGAAACAGATAAACTCAAGATTGGAGTGTTTAATTTATTTAACGATAGTTTTTAATGGGTTTAGGAGATGAACTCCACTTCACGAACCAAACCAAACCAAACCAAACCAACCCTTTAAACAGGAGACAAGAAGTATCGAGAAATATGAGAGGACATTCTGCGGAATAAGAGTAAATATTTCATGAAGCTTTTGTTTTTAAATAATGTGTGTTTGAAGAGGAAGAGGTTAATGATTACCATATTATTGTGGATTATGTCAAAACACTGGATTCCAAACTTGGGGGTCAGGCTGGGTTCAGCCTTCAGCTCTGTTATATACTTATAAAATGTTACATGGATAAGCCTCAATTTTTTTAAAAGAATTGGGTAGAGCCCAGTTATTTCTGTTTCAGAAATGACAACTGTTTTTAGTTCTGCCTTTATTTGAAGCCAGCCAGCTTGATGTCTCCATGTGTAATAGTAAGTCACGTAGACAGAATCTTGTTTGTGAGGTTTCAGTACTTGAAGAGTGCTGGAAGGATTTGGAGTCAATTCTCATCTATCCTTGTTTAAAAGCTAATTTCTCTCAGGCATTTTGTTACTAGGATTCAGCACCCTTCCTTTGAATATTTTCTGCATCTCAGAGTAACAGATTCTCAGATCTTAGAAGTTTTCAGAAATTAATTTTAGTATGTAAGGGTAGGACTAAGGGTATGATAGACTTATGTCTTTGAGTAAATTGGATAGGAAGGCATTTTATGTTTTATAGTTTATTGCCATTGAGGTGTTTGAAATAAAATGGCTTTGTGAAATATCATGGTGTGCTTACTTCATGTTGTTATGACCTAAAAACAGCTAGTGTTTAAATTAAAAGTATGATTTTGGACATTTTAAAATCTGGGAATTAATGTTTAGTGGAAGGCAAGATTAGTTTGAATCAAAATTGTGTTTTGCACCATTTGACATGTTACTACCATATGGCATTGCATATGGTAGTTTCACATGACAAAAAGGGAAGAAAGTTGGTAAGCCTTGTAGTTTTCTTAAAAGAGGAAACAATAGGCAAGTGAATTTCTTTTAATACATTATGGTGGTTAATCATTGTTTGAAAATTTATGTATTCTGCAAATATTGAGCATATATAAAATATAGTATTAAGCTCTTACATTTTGCAAAAGTTGATTTGGGAACAGTGAGAGCATAATTGGTATTGTCAGAGTTTACATGTCGTAGCATATAAATAGCAATGACAGTAATAATAGCTAACATGTCCAAATTCAATTCTAAGCACTTCATGTTGTCTCATGTAATTCTCATTGTTATCAATGTGGTAGTTAGTACCATTATCCCCTGTTTATAGACAGAGAACGAAGGCATCACAAGTGCATAACTTGCTTAGTTCACACAGGTTGTTAGTGGAGTTGCTGAAATGTGCACAGAGGCATTCTAGTTGTCATGTTTTATTAAAAAATACAGAATACTAAGGAGTTATTTTGGATTCCTTTCTTGCTGGTTTGGGTGATGGATGACTTTGGGTAAATGCCTTTGGCCCTTAGTTTCTTCAGCTCCTTCCTCAAAAAAAGAAATGTAGTATGAAGCCATTATGTTTCTGTGAGGATTAGGATAATTTATAAAAGTGCTAGAGAGAATATGTGTTCAGTAAATGATATGCCTCAGCTGTTTTCCTTTCGTGAGGATGTGGCCATTCAGAAATTGTTAGTTGGGGGAGGATGGGAGAAGAAAGCTAGTTCCACATAAGGGCACTGCCCAAACAGAGGTGCAGAGGTAGAAAAGCAGGAAACATTTGCCCAAGTTGTCTGTTTAAGGAATAGGCTGTTAAGGATACCAGGATACAGATTATGAAGATCTTTAAATGCCAGGATAAGGATTTTGTACAAGATTCTTAGTTGAAAAGAACCCCTCTTTGTGGATATTAATCTTTAATAGAAGTCTGCGGAGTTTAATTACAGTAGTTGAGTCAAGAAGTGATGATAGTGGGATTGTAGTGAAGGGTATAGAGAGCTGAGAAATATTGACATTGGCATGGGAACTGACATAAGTATGAGTGCAAGACAAATTTTGGGGAGGATAGTGATGCTGTTAACAAAAATAAGGATTTTATGAAGAATAGGTTTTGGTGGAAGGGGATTTAGGAGAACACTTTATGATAGGGATTTCAGAGCTGAAGAGTTGTTCAGATGTTTGGCAATGTAAAATGGGTACTGGGAGCTTTGTGTATTCCATAAAAAGGGAAGAGATAAATAGCTCACATTTTGAGGAAGTGGTCTATAGCAATCATTTGCCTGAGAGTCAAAGATTCATAGGAGTGATGTGACTCCTGAAGGTCTTCAGAAATGCAAATTTCTCCCTTGATAGGGTTATACCCACTGTTTTTCCCTGTTAAGTGTTTTGTGCCATGGGAGGATAAGAGGGGAGGTAGTATAAGTAAGGAGGTAAAATTTTGGGAACCTAGCAAGACTCCCATTGATCATTTCAAAAAGAGCCAATAAATTGGAGGCTCACTAAGAACTTGAAAAGGTGGTGTGTTTTTTATATGGGGCCAGGCATTTATACACACAGTTCTTAGTTGTAACATCTCCAGATTTGTTATTCTTGTTATCTCCTGTTTGTTACCCTCAATAGATCAATAGCAAAACCTTTAACATCAGAGAGCCTGTGTGCTTGTTAGGGGAACGGTAACAAGAGGGGACCTAGAAAGATTATGTTCTGCTTATTTATGGCTAAGATTGTGGAACAAGAACCTCAAAGGATGAGGACAAAGCTACCTGGTGTGGTGGGAAGAATAGAGATTCTGTGAATGAATCTCTGGGCTACCTATTCTCTGGTTTTGGTTTCCTCATTCTATAAAATGATGATGATAATACCAATTCTGACCTTTGATAAGAAAGAAGGGGAGTCTGCGGAGATCCTTTGCGCTTGAAAAAATGGCTCAGGTCTGAATAGTAGAAGAGCCTATAGATTTCCTCTATTGGCAGATTTTCTAGGGTTTGGTGCAGTTGAGTAGAACATGATGTTATAAATTAAGCAGTATAATTTATGCATCACTGAACTATTTTAGTTTCTTACAATGCATGGCCTGATCTGGCCAATCAAATAAAAAAGTGAACATTAGGCTCAAGCAATAAGACAAGGAAAAGTTCACATATTCTGTCACACTATTGTTGGAAACATTACTTGGATCCTGCTACTTACAGGTTTTCTATAGCATTCATTCATCCAACAAATATTTAAAGTACCTTCTATGTCAGGAACTGTTCTAGGCATTCAGAGTACATTAGTGAACCAAAGAGCTGACCTCATAGAGCATGTCTTCTACTGGGAGAAATAAGATATATTTTAATAATGGAAAGTGATTAGATTTTTCTTGTACTATATATTTATAAAAACACCATCTTAATAGTAAAAGTACTATACCAGATTGTACCTAATTTTGTAGAGCACTTTGAAGGAAGGGACAATGTTATTCCTACTCATGTGTGTCTCCCCATTTCCCTTTCTTCCCAATAGAATGACTTAGATGTATTTAATAATTAGCAAATGAAGGTACTAATTAAATGTTTATGATGGGAAGAAGGAGATTATGTTAAAGTGAGGCCGGTTCTTAAAGAAATCAGTAAAATGTAGCAAGTATTAAGGACCCATACACTCACTAGACTGAAGGTAGGGAAAATGAAAAAGGTGCATATGCATTACCTGGCTTGCCTACAAGGTGGAAATAGAAATGAGGTTAGATTGTAGTTGAAAATATCAACATTAAGGATGACTTTTCATAAATGAGTTGACCTCTTAGTTCATTTCCTCATTTGTAAAATGAGGTAGTTGGAATTTTCTAGTTAACAAATCTGTTTCTAAAGTTTCTTGCAAAATCTCTATTACAGTAATGTTTCACTTTATAATATAAAGTAGAGCTGATCATGAGCTTTCAATGAATAATAATAGGGGACTAAATTTATATTAATGAATGAGATGCTTAAAAAAGTACCTACAAAACTATTGTTACCTATTTGATGTTATTTACTAGGAAGACCACATTGTAATTTTTTTAAATGCCAATTATAGCCTAATATATAGTTTTCCTTTTTGCCATTATATAGGAAATATAAACTATACTATTTTACATGTTAATAATGGATCTTCATACTTATACTTTCATACTTTAATTTTACAACAGCCTTTGGTTATTGTGCTAGGTGTTGAGTATACCAGGTTGAAAAGGTTTAGTCTCTAACTTCAAAGACTTTAAAGAATAATGGGAATAATGAAAAATTAAATTAGTTTACATTGGCACATAATAAGTATCTAGGAGAAGAAGACATTAATATGGTCAGAGAAGAAAGACTGAGAAGGTACAGCAAAGGATAAACTTGGAGTCATAGGCAAGAGTCAGTTTATGAAGAACTTTCTGTGCAAAATCACAACTTAGTTTTGAGCTTTATTCTGAAAGTTATTTAATCTGTTAAGGAATTTTATGCAAGGGTAACATGATCAGGCATTTTTATATCTGTATTTCTCTTGAAGGAAGATGAAGAAGATATGTTTTACTTCAAAGACATAGTCATAACTGAGGAAATCAGTCTTTTAACTCTGAGATAAAGCTTGAGAACTGTCAATTTTGTGGTTTTAGAGTAGTAGTAACCATGAAAAATTTAGACATTAAAACATTTCAATATTTTGTTCATAACCACATTAATGTAAATTGAAAAGGCAACTGAAATGTTGGGATATTCTCCTTATTGAAATAAGAGAGCTACTTCTGGTCAGCTATAAGAACTTGATTTATAATCATTTCTAAGGGACTATAAATTTGTTGAAGTTTAATTGAATGTAATTTTTAGTTCAGCTTCACTAATGATCAAGCTATCCAGTTAAACTTTATAGAGGGAATTTCCAGGGGGGAATAATCATACCTGGTGATAGGTGAATATTTCTAAATCATCATGGAAGAGAAAAGGAATTGAATTACTGTTTTGCTTAGTAATTACTGTTTTTGCTTGAGTAATTGAGTTACTTAAATGTTGCCCTGACTGCATGGCTTACTTGGTTGGAGTGTTGTCCTGTACACCGAGATGTTCCAGGTTAGATCCCCAGTTGGGGTGGGTGGGGAAGGCAACCCATAGATATTTCTTTCACATCCATGTTTCCCTCTTTCTCTCCTTTCCTCTTGCCTCCC